GTTTAGGATATCTGCACATAGATTTCCAGTTGAAGTCGGTCGATATGCTAATATTGACTGTAAGTTACGCCTATGTCCAATTTGTGATTCAAATGATATAGGTGACGAATACCATTATTTTTTAAATTGTAAAAATTACAAGTTAGAAAATCTAAAAGAAAATTTCCTGAAAGAGATACTGGAAATTAATAGTTGTTTTAGTTCACTAGGTAAAAATGACCTGTTTCTTTATTGTATATCCATGAATGACAAGAGTTTAACAAATTGTACAGCCAGATACATTTACGAGTTAACTAAGATTTTCTCTGACTGTACTGTTTGTAATTAAGTATTAGCTATAGTACTAGTTTTATTGTTTGTATATGTATCTGTTATATTGTAATATATCCTATGTACCAGTAATGGTGTAATGGAATAAATATATTATTATATTATAATATCGTACTCCGCATTACTGTTATCCAGCAATCAAAGTTTAATATCAAAGTTACTAATTATAAACCAGTTCTGGTGAAAATGGATTCTACTCGCGCAGTTTACTTATTTTAGTCCAAAAACTTTTTTGTTAATTAATAAAAGAGGCCCAAAACAAAGACATCACATCCCCTTTCACTGATCAGGTATATAGCCTAATTTAGTACCAATAGTAGTACGATAAGGATATTCACAGTATAATATGCGCCTAAAATTAAAAAAAATCAACCTAGTGCGTTCTAAAAACAAGACATGACGCATTTTTCTTTAAGCTAAGTTGAATAGTAGTTGCAATAGTTTCAAGCTACACTCACATTTCAGACAATTTTAGCATCATTCAATAAGCTTTTATTATAATAAAATGAATAATCTACCTTTCTTTAGTATGTCCTGAAAATTTCAATGACATCCACCATAAAATAACGACGATATACCCATTTAAAGTTATGATATACAAGTTTCGCCATATTAGTTTATAATGTTTTGGACCAGAGTTGGTTGCTTTCAACATGGCGGCCAAGGCGCCGGAAGTAACATGTGCCGGCACAAACACTTCAAAAGTTCCGACTCGAGTGGACCTTCTGCCCTATTTCTATATTGTGCCTGAGGATTATCAATTACTTTAACAATTAATGAGCCAATAGTACATGAGCTGTCTTATAATATATGAGCTGAATTATAATATATTCAGTCTAATAGCCATTAACAGTAACAATAGTATATGCTTCTCTATTGTTTGAGTTTGTTTTAGTTTGTTCGGCTAAAAACTACGTCCTTTTGCGCATATAAATGAAAAAAGACAGCATATAATTTCAGTGTATTTTTATTAATTAATTACCCTTATTTATTATATTAAAATATTTAAATAAAGAGGAAAGCAAAGTTATTTTCATGCGAGAATTTGAAATCAGTTTATTTCAAACTTAACGTTTACCGATAAAAGGCAGTTCAGTTTTAAAAACATTTTGTGGTTCAATTTTACATTGAATTGAAGTTTATATTACATATAATAGCGTACAATAACATTGTTTTGTTAGCCGCTTTTCTTCGTTTTCAATCACCATTTCAGAAACAAACAACGACGAATGTCAACGTGCATTTAATAGCCCGCGTGCAGGCCCAAGGGAACTGATAGTGGGCCAATCTCGTTCCCCGAGCATGCCCGTTCGCAGGTTAAGGGTGGGCATAGCCCTGGAGAAATCGAATTGATTCAGACCTGTGATTGGCTAACGGCAGATAGTACGTTGGATTTCCAAAGTGAGTTCTATATAAACAAAGTATTTGGAATTTCTCGTCGAAAATTTGATACTTTTTACACCGAAATCGATTGAAAACAACTAGAAATTCTGGAGGAAATATGTACGAAAGCTGCGGATTGATAGGGATACAACTACCTGAAAAATACAAGGAGAACTTCGACGTTTCGAGCGAAGGCGCTTCAAGCGACTTGTGCTGTTTAGTGTTTGTATACATCGTACTTGACCTTTTATATACTGTCATACCTAACACTACGTTAAAGCATAAAAATATATAATACTTATTATTGAGGAGATTATATTTATCAGCAAAGGTCAAGTACGATGTATACAAATATACAAACACTAACAGTACAGATCGAAGCG